AGATAAGTGAACTCTGCTTTTAGGATCACCATATTTCAAATTGATTGTTGGTCGCTGAAGAAAATGAGAGATGTCCCATGTTTTGTTCATTATGGGGAATCATCACAGACACAGCGTTCAAATTATTGATCAAATGATCAATAAAAGTATACGGGGGCATCCATGTTTTTAGGACACGAACACCATGTCACAGCTGGGAATTCAGGCTTTCTTATCTGTTTAATTTCAGCACCCTTGAGTCATCAGATTTCCCCTTTAAACCAACTATCATTATATCAGTGATCTGCAGTTTTAATTAACCCCACAGGAAAGATAGAACGGGAAATGTTGAGCTCTAAATCTAAGAGTCTCACCACCTGCTCGTGACCCTCCCTGAATGAAACACAGCCGAGGTCAGCAACTCTTCTCCCCGTCTGTCAAATCAAGGTGGATACAGAGTGACCACCCACAGGAGTCACAGAGCGGTCAGCACGGCCTGACCACTAAAAAACAAAGACACGGACTCAGATAAAACTAAGCAGTCGTTTAAAAAACCCAACGATCTTTTCTGCATCTCAGGTCATCAGGATTTTGAAAGCATTTCGGTCACATTTGAATAGTCGGGCAGATGGTTATATCAACCACAACTGCCCCCCCCCAACCCCCACCCATAGGAACCGCTTTTGTTACATATCCCCTAGACTTAAGACGAATAACCCTCCACTGACTGACCACAAAAGCCTCTGGCTGAGGCCGGCCCGAGCAGTGGTCACTGTGGATGAAAGGGCTTTAGATTGATAGAGATGCACTGATTCGGGCCTGAAAGGAGCTGGGGGCTGAAAGCACCACGTGCAGATGTGCATTACAAAAGAGTCCCGATGTAGAGGCAGCTCCAAACCTAAGAGTACAGCACACGCAGAGACCTTCTGGATAATTCAGCGAGAAGTGCCCCATCCAGACGGAAAAATAACGCTAAGAGATTCACCACTTTTCTTTCGTGAGGAGAGCGCCGAGTCATCCGTTATCAGATCCGTAAATATGGATTCTGTTTCTAGTCGGAAAACCACCAGAGCCCCTTTTGATGTGATTCACCTTCCAAGAACAGCTTCTCAGAACGCCGCGCACGATCTTATTGTGCTCTCTCGACAATAGTATTTTTAAAAGAGATAAAAGTGAAAATTCACTGATGCAGAGTCCGCCCACGCGGCGTTCGGAAAAACCTGCTGCATAAATGTAGCAGCCCACTTGATGTGCACGATCTCCGCTGATGGTATCCTGTCATCAATCTGTTCTGCTATTTCCTCCTCTGAAGATACAAAATCACATCTTTTTTTTTTTTTGGTAGCTCTGAATTTTTACAGTGATCTCAAAATGTGTCAAATCACGTGGAAAAGATGGGTGTTTCATGTATCAAACACCGAGTCTTAGTCTTTCTTCAGATGTCGTGTTTACAGTGGTTTCTCCAATATTCTGAGCCAGGAAGCAGAAGTAGAAATTGGTTCTGATCTTCGTTTTGCAATAGTCTTCATTATTTATTTATTTCCAGCTCCTGATTTATCTTCCAGATGACTTAAATCTGAGTCTCGGTTCGTCATACGGCCTTCGTTTGTTTCCCTTTACCAGCTCTTTCCCTTCATCCTGTTTGAAGGTTTCATGGGGTTTGGGAAAGACAACCGAGCTTCAGGATGATGAAGAGCGTAAAGGAATCTTGCATTTATCAAATTAGAGCTAACATAATTTTAGACTTTTTCATTTTAAAAAAGAATGAAAAAATGGATACATGTTTTCTTAACTTTGAAATAAATAAAAGTTCATTTAAATCCCTTCAAGTGCCTCTGTGTTTGGGTTCATCACCAAAAACCAAAAATGTCTGCTAAGAGCTGAGCAGCGTTTGGAAATGAAGGTTTCAGCCCCACTCACACACCACGCTGGTTTTTTAATCATTTAAATAGCAGCTCATATCAGAGATCCACTAAAATCCACTTGCTTCAAATCAGATTTGTGCTGCTTTACTCCCCCTGCCTGCCAGTTTGAGCTGATTTGTGGGAGGACTCAGGTGGTGGTCCTCCAATTAACCGGTCATGCAGCATCGGGATGGAAATCGAGGAGGGGAAAACTGTCAATAAAAATGCTTCTAAATCAATGTTAAGTCCTGACATCCGTCCTGCAGATGGCTTATTGTGACCCCTACTACAAAGCAACCCCCCCCTCCTCCCCGACACCCACCCTCCTCCACATCATTTATGTATTCTGTAGCTTTGAGTTTAATCACAGCAGCTTCTGGCCATTTGGGCCGATGAGACTGAACCGGTTTGATGAAAAACACACAGCTGACAGAAGGGAAAGTAATGAGTGGATTTCAAAGAGATCCCGCTTTGAGTCCCGGGGAAGCGGGGGCCTTTCTGTGTGGAGTTTGGATGTTCTCTCTGAGTATGATGGTTCTCTCTAGGTACTCAGGCTTCCTCCCACTGACCAAAAACATGCATCTTAGGTTACTTGGAGGCCTCAAATTGCCCAAAGGAATGAATGTGTGTGTGTGTGGTTCTACATTTGTGTGGTAGATAGATAGAAAGACTTCAGAGTGAATATTCCTGAAACAAAAGACTAAAGTAATCCAACTGAAGCTTTAACACTCAGAGCTGGATGCTACAGGGTGGAAACTGACTCTGAGGCTCCGTTTTGATCTGAAGTTGTACTCTTTACATCAAAGAGTGTTTTGTGGCCAGCACACGTGCACGCACACAGGTGCACGCTCAACAGGGAGCTCAAATATTGTTCCACAAGATCTGTTGTTGCCATGGCATTGCACTGTGCCTCCATTGCATTGCCATGGAAACACAATAAAAATGATGACTGGCACGAGGCTGTGAGTGAAGTGGGTCAAGAGCATCCGAAAAAAAAAGTGTCAAGCAACTAGGTGGGATCCACAGACCCGGACCAAACTCTGCAGCGGCAGAGCAGCACTGGAAGCTAACCGGGAAATAAAACACAGTGCCAACAGCTTAACCACAGTGACACAAGAATGAAGTTAAACAACACCGGACAGAGAAGATGCACACCTTCTGGAATGATTGTAGGGAAACCAGTTTAGTAACAAGTAAATAAAAGAGAAAAGTGGGTGAATTCAGAAATCAGGTTGCACATGAGGGCTCATCAGAGGTTTTCTCTCAAGAATTTATCCCAGAAGAGAAGAATCTTTTGGACTTTTATTAATTTATTCACCTGTTTTAACAGCCTATAATTCTCAGTGGTTATCTACTCAAACAGATTATTCCTGGTACATTTTTTACTTTTCAGTGTAGATCCACTAAAAAAAAAAAGGAGGATTTTATAGAAAGGTGGCTCCATCTTGTGGATGTATTTCATCAACAGACTGTGAGTCATTAGTGTCTATGAGCTGAGCAGCAATTGGAAATAAAAAGGAGTATCAAGCTGTGTTCTAAGATTTCATCTATAATGGAAAAATGTTTTTAATTTGACATGATATAAAAATGGTTTTCATCATCCCAGAGTAAAGTCTTGGCCACCACGTCAACGTTGCATAAATTGTCTATTGGCTGGTTTTGCTGACATCTAGAGGTGGCCTTATCAAATGTGAGGAAATATACTCCTCAAGAACACTCACACATTTAAAATATTATAATTTCCTTTATTTCTTAATTTCTTCAGCTCAAAGCTGAACTAAGAATGGATTCCTAGATGAAGTGTAAAACATCCTACAGTCTTTTTGAAAGTGACAGCTTGAAGAAAATAGGGTTGGAACAGAGGGGAAACTTGAAATCTGCATGTTTCCTCTATCTCTCTATGTATTCCACCATCCAAAAACATGAATGCATGGCTTTCTTTCTCCTTTGTGTTGCCTTGTGACCTGTCCAAAATGCGTCCCACCTTTTTATCAAGTGACAGAAATGGATTGTGGGTCTAGAAAAGGGATACATAGTTATTTCAGGTAATATTGACAAAATGCCATACAACCGCTCAAACATTTAAATTTTGTATGGTTGATACAAATGCGTATAGAGACAATTTCAAGACCACAATCTGATTACGCAGTAATCAAAACTTCATTTATATTCACCTCTGCACCTTTATAAATTCTAATGTAAATAATTATAGTGAAGATAACTAAAAGCCTCAAGCCTTACTGTCTCAATAACAATATATGTAGTCTTATTAATGAATTAAACGCTTTTCTGTAATGGCCATCGCATTAAATAGCTAAATATCATAAATCTTAAGGGATTAGAAAACTAATCCATTTCAAGGACTAGCATATAAAGGAATACTGTTGACGCCTACTGGAATTCATCCTTTTTAAATCCAATAAAATTAATTTTCTGCCTCTGGATATTTCTTTAATGAGAAGGTCCCTATCTTGTTCCAAAACTTTACCAGAAAGCCTAATTATCGAATTTCAGGAGTAGCACCTGAAGGCAGCACGCTATCCACCCTTGTGTGTCCTCCTCAGTTTCAGCACCCGTCTCCAGAGTGTCTGACGGCCCGTGGGGTGTGTCTGTCGTAGGTAGCAGAGGAGAAAGGAAAGGGTGTCAAGTTATTCAACAAAACTGCGGAAACAGGAAGTTAAAAATTACTTTAAAATAAAATATCCGTAATATCAATATTTCGGACACCTGTTTTGTTTATAATGTAAATTCTGTATAATTTCAATACTCTTTTTTTCTATTCTTAAAATATTGAATAGGAGTCTCAAGCTCTCTACTGTTTGTATTTTCACATAATGCCATTCTCCTCTATGTTGCCATCTATGAAACTGTTAAGGGGGGATGTCGACCCTTTATTTTGAAGGAGTTACCGGAACTACTTTTTGAAAGTCCTGCCTCTCTGACACCGTTGGGATCAACGGTCGGGCTCCCGCCTCCTCAGACACCTTACAGAATAGAAAGCAGTGCGCGCACGACTCACGTGCGGAGACAAAAAAAAATGTCTTTGAACAGCCCGACAAGGCTCACGAGTCTGACACCAACTATAATCTAACATTACTTTGTGTGAAGAGAGACGAAATGAAGAAACACCTGAGCCCCACGAAACAACAACAGCAGCAACAGCCGCCTCCGCCGGCTGACGTCCCGGCTCCGGGCTGCGAGGTGAACGTCGAGCAACTCAACGAGCTCCTGTCAGACGGCAGCGGCTTCTACAACCTGCCGACACAACACTTCAACGAGGTCTACCCGAGAATTTACATCGGCAACGCGTGAGTCATCTCCTTTTTTTTTAAAAAAAAACCCCAAAACAACAAAAAAAAACCCAGTCAAACCAGGTTGGCGTCGAGCTTTGACGACCGTTAGTTTTTAGCCCGTCGTCAGCCGCCACCATGACAACGGTGTCGCATGCAGAGCGGCACGCGCGCTGGGCGGGCTTGTTGTTGTGGTGCCTCCGCTGTCATCCGGGAGAAAGGCGACAGCCTGTGGGTGTCAACAGATGTCCTCCATGTAACGGCGCCGTGCCTCGTTTGGGTAACACAGACACACGACAACGGTCCCATTACACTACAGAGATTAAGATAGACGGTGTATCTAAGGTTTTAGAGCGGGGACTGGGAGGTTCACCTAAAGAACGCCTGGATTCAGACGGTAAGGCGACATAGAGGGGCATCTTTTTTACTCAATGAACACCTCCATCATTAGTGTCACTGCCGTATAATCACGTCTCCATCAAGCCGCTCCCCTTTCCCTCCTGCTGGGCTGCGGGGACACTGCGATCATCGCATCTGAAGGGCCTGGTTTTCACCTTTAACAACAACAACAACAACACCAGGACGCTGAACAATGGGGGCAGAAAGGTGTGGAAGCCTTACTGTCTGGGTTATCACGATGCCTGGTCACAAAAAAACACTTGAGGAGGGGTGGAACTTTTTCATTTGGGTTGGTTTGCTTGTGTTTTCCTTGTGTCAGTCATGTCAGTTGGATTTCCCCACTGTGAGGTAAATAAAGTCTATTCATTCATTCATACCCCTGGATTCAGTGAATCCTGAGGAATGAATGACCCCGGGAGGACGCACAAGGGTGAAAAAACAGGTTGAAGTCAATATTATTTTCATTTCAGGGTTTAAATGAACAGACATCTAGTCTGTAAACAAAATGAGACAGATATATCTGCTGTGTGTGTTTTCTTTGTATTCAGAACAAACATATAAGCTGGTGATAAATCCCTATTGCTGGTTTCTAAGACATTAGTGAACAATCTTATTATGGCACAATGGCATGTTCAGAAAAGCCCTGCTTGAAATTATTTCATGCCATTTTATGGATACCAAGAGTCAATTCTTCTGTTTTCTCCAGATAAGAAAGCTAATTAAGCCACTGCCTAATTGATGCTGTTTGCATTTATTTGAAATTTGTGGCGTAATTGATAAAGATATAGCTGTTACAAAGCTGCTGGTCTAGTTAACAGTTAGCCTTGGATCCTATTCAGCATTTCTGGTTTACATTTACACCACAGCTACCAAAACACAAACTGAGTGAAAAACATCTGTAGAGCTTTTATCCGCTAATGTCCTTATGACATACAAACAAAACATGGCACTTATTTCTGGGCTACGGCTTGTCAACATCTCATCAATTTAGTTTTTTATTGAATATAAATATAGAAATTAAATTCTATGATATAGACCAGAAAGCCTGCACTTTATTTCTTGCTGAAATGCAAACGCAAAATGATAATAATTCTGACAGTTTCTTCATTCTTATGGGCCGAATGGATGTTTACCACCAGCAGGACCATAAATCCTCTGTTGTTGGTTTGTTTGATTATATTGGTTTTGTAATGAACATGCTGACCTGAAAATTTACTACTGTGTGTTCCAGTAAAACCAGTTTAGCTGCCTCCTGCACAAATTGTGCATAAAATACAAAATTATTTGGTTAAAAGAAATAAATAAGGACATTTATTTGTACACATAATGCCAGAATGTCTCAAATGATTTTGAAATATGTTATTTGAATATATACTGGCCATAATATCATTATCCCAATGGAAACCGGTGGGAAGGGTTGGGGAAATAATTGTGTTTTGCTGATTGTGTATGCAGTCAACTGGTAATAAAACAAAGGGGGACTCATTAATCCAAGCTGATGTGTTCCTACGACCAAAAGGGCACTTTTAAAATGCTTCAAGCTTAAAAAACAAGCATAAAGTGCTTTGCTGCTTATTATTTTATCAAGATCCAAATCTGGTCCAGCCGGGTTGAACTGAAATCCCTACATGACAGCTCTTTATAAATGAATGAACACCACCTTTCCCAAAGGTCTTTTTTCTTATTAGGTTTTGCAGAATTGTATAGAAGAGACAGGATTTTAAATGTCAAGCCAGAAAATTTGCTTTGTAGCCAGTAGATCTACACATGTTGTGGGGGAGTTCCTATTTCATTGTGCTGTTCAGCAGCAGGGCTGCAGGGATCTTGTTTGGTGGCACTCCCAGAAGGATGATCAAAAGTAAATGTAAATCAGGTTTTTAGTGGTTTCTGCCATTTGCAGTGTTTGTTTTTTTAGGAGAGGAAAGAAAATATTAAATTAGAATTGTGTTTAGTATGAGAAAATCTTGGGATTTTATATTTAAAACAAATTGCCCAGCCCAATTCTCATCTTTTCTTTCTCTACAAAGACCAGGATACAGGACATAAGACTTCAGAAAATCAGAAAGACATCACTTTCTTAATTCCAGTCTGATATTAGGAAACATTTAGTAAGAACAGTATAGAAACTATCACATATATTTTAACAAGCTGTTGGTTTTATGTTTTACCATTAAACATGTTCCTCTAGCTTGACGCTGCAACCAAATCAGTGTGAACAAGCCGGTTTGCTCTAAAAAATGTGGAAAAAATCTCTGAAACTTTGTATCTAGGTGAAAATGTTTTGATCATTTATCATGGAGCAGAGTAATCCCGGAATTTTTGGGAATGTCATCACTGAACTGCTTTATTTAGGTCACAACCTGTCCTAATAGGTGGAAGGTAATGTGATGTAGGATGTGTCTCAGACAGATGGAGGTGATATTGATTGTTGATTAAAGCCAGCAACTTGTTCAGGGCCTCCCCCTCTGGGCCCCCGCCAGCCCGCCGCAGTGCTGATGCATCTGGTTAGCGGATGCTGGGGTTGGTCTCAAGCAAAAGAAACACTGATGTGAATATGGTAGATCTCCCAAATTTTGTTTACTATTCATGACTGTAAAAGACAAAAAAAAAAGTAATCAAAGAAATGAAATTGGATCTGCCCTGGAAAATATTCATTAAAACGGGCTCATTGGGGAATTTGTTTCATCAACTATTTTTAGGCTCTAATATCAAGAGTTTAAATCAGTTTTCATGTCAGGTCATGACACAGTTTACGAAAATGACATAAGAATTAGTTAAATAAACAAATAGATTCAATTAAAATGTTGCTCCTTTTTTCTTTGATTGTCATCATTAATTTATCCATGTTGTTTTAGCATTTTATACTCCTCTGTATACCTAAGCCCACCTAAGAGAAGTATAAAAACTCTAAAACAACATGGCCGCTGACCCACAACCCTTCGGTCCTAAGGGTTGTGGGTCAGTGGCTGCAAACCGCTTTAAATTGAAGCAACACTGGAAAGAATGAATGTGATGTGAATTAAATTGTTCTAAAAATTATTTAAAACTTTTTTCTTTTACGTCATCGTAAACAAACTCACAAATCTTTTTTTTTTTTTTTCATTTTTATTGTGACGTCCCTCAGTAATGAAGACTTTGACTGGCTCAGCAGATGTGTTTATCGGGCCGGTCTGGTTCATAAATGGATGATGAGTGCGTTTTGCAGCTGCACTGTTTTCAGAGGGGTTGTAGTCAGCACTCTGAAGCCGCCGCGCTGCTCAGGGACAGAGCCGAGGTGCGGTTGTTTGCTGTGAGGAACTCTCCGGCTCTTTGTGAAGCTGCTCTTAAATAATGGATGTGTTGGGACTGCGGATCCCAGGGTGAGGAGGCTGGGACACGAGTAGGAAGGACGCCATTGGCTGTGAACCCAGCTGAACCCGGCCCGCCGTGTGGAAGTACAGTAGGTGTGAGGGCTGCCTCCTTACTATGGCGCGCACATCCCCCCCCCCCTCATGTTGCATTTAGGTTCTCAGACTCCTTAAATTATTTATGAAAACCAGTTTTGTGAATGAATTGGAGGCGGTGTTTGCTTTGCCTCATGACTGCCCTTCAGCTGACATGGAGGCAGATGGGCTGCTTCATCTCAGGGTTTTAATTAGTTCTTCTTGGGGGGGGGGCTTTGCTGCCACCATCTCTGGGGAGCTTTGCGGGGTCAGGCTTCGTATTGACCGCAGGCAGGTAAAAAGCAGACAAAGTTACCTCACAGATTTAGAAAGATTCATGACCGCAAAAATACCCTTTTTATGTTCCTAAACGGAAAATAAAATGTGCATTTTTTTTTATAAATGCTGTTTTACGATGCAGTTCCACCTCTGTTTAACAACAGTGTAGTGCCTTTTGTGCCGTGCAACGTAAATTTGTGTTTAATTAGTGACACTAAGTGCCCATAAAACCTCGACACAACTGGTTTCCTTAATACTCAAAGAGGCTTTTTATTAACAATCAATGGGCAGCGCCTTGAGCCAGGCTGAGCGCTAACAGCGGACTCAGGCTCTGGGCCAGACTGGCCTGGACAGCAAACATCTTGTTTCTCTTTGTTGTAGTTTGTTAGCTTTATAGATCAGATATGCAGCGTTGCAACTCTCAGGAGCAGCGCCGATTAGAGCAGGCGGCAAGCAGAAATGGATTTATTGTTTTAAAAGAGCAGAAGAAGCCCGAGCTGCTGAAGTGAATCAGGGTGGGATTCAATGGTTTTTCTATCTTGTCAGTTTTAGATACAGATATTATTGCACATGCATGAATGTGCATGTCCTGTTTAATTTCTTCTACAGTCCACCTGTTTTTTACCTCTGCATTTTGTGTGAGTGGACTTTCAGACTGTAGACAGCTCTCTGAATGCACAAATATAGACTCTCCAGCATCTGTTGGACCTGACTGCAGCACTCAAAGTCAGCTTACAGAAGGTTTCTCTTCAGAATTATGCCAACGCACTCTGACTGTAGGATTTTAAGAAGGTAATTTAAGAAGATTACAAATATGTAAATATCTTCAAAGTCATGACTTCTTTCCCAGAAACTTTTTAGGTAAACTATGAAAACAGGTAGAAATCAGATTTATTGCTTCTGCTGTGTGAGGGATATCCACAGATGCTGACCGATGGACCAATCTGAGAATAAAAGGCCTGTTAGAAATCAGAGAAGTTTTTATTTTACCATCAATCGAAGCACTTAAGGTTTGGAGAGCGCCATTTAGCTCTGTAAGGCCTCACTCAAGTCCAGACTTAGTCTAAGTGCAGCGGGCTCGTTGGAGCCATCAACAACCCGCTGAATGATTTATTTTCATTTATTTTCCAGCCTTAATCCTCCGCCTCCTCTCCCGCTCAGGTTTGTTGCCCAGAACACGATGCGTCTGCAGAAACTCGGAGTGACGCACGTCCTGAATGTGGCCGAGGGCACCTCCTTCATGCACGTCAACACAAGTGCGGAGTTCTACGCCGGCACGGGCATCACGTACCACGGCATCCAGGCCAACGACACCGAGCAGTTCAACCTCAGTGCCTTCTTTGAGGAGGGCGCTGATTTTATCGACAAAGCACTAGCACACAACAACAGCAAAGGTGGGTTTGCTTTGCTTTTTCAAAGTGTCTTCTGCCCGAATGGGCTCTAAACATTAAAAATGGCTTCACCCAAAACCTTTCCTGCCACTGGCTTTTAGAGTGAACCTGGTCTCTGGGTATTTTGGAATGACTCACTGTGTATACAGGAAGCAAAATATCTGATGGCTGATTTATCACCGGATCTATAGCTCACCTGGGAATTTGTGTTCGATAGCATTAGCCATCCCAATAAGTGCCTTTGGATCCCATTTGCTGTGGAAATAAATAAATAAAACTGAACTGAATGTAATCTTACAGTTTACCCTCAGTCAGTGAAAAATTGACCAATGACGGAGCCGCAGAGTGTGTATTGATATGGGTCTAGCCACAAAGTACCACTGACGTTCAGCACATTTTGGTCCAGAAAGCAACATTTTTATCGGTGGTCCCAAATGCACTGAAACTAAAAGAGGAAATTGGGATATTTCAAAAGGTTTGGTTAGCTTTAAAAGCTCCTATTGATTACTTTCTTGCTCTCAGAAGTTTGAGACCTGAAACCAAACAAAAGCCACACGATTGAAGGTGCCCTAGTGATGTGCCTGCCTCAGTGCAGGAGTATGTGCAAATGGAAAGAGGAGACAATCATCAGACTAAATTGGACACACTCCTGAGCCCTGCTCCATATTAAACTATCAGATCAAGTCCCTGGATGTCAGCCTTGTCAGATGCTTCCTGTGTTTTACTCCTGCAGGATGTGCTCTCTGAATTAAACAGGTGCCAAGGCGCAAAAAATAAAGGAACAAAACAAGCACTGCAGTTGAAAAGAAAAGAACAAAATGCCCAAATCACCAGGGAGCTGAGTCTTAAATTTGATTCAGCTACTGGGTCAGGTGCGCTAAGAATTTCAGAAGGCAGAACTCGGGGAAACAATTCATCCCGGGAGGCTGCGGCCCTTCTCCACCCGAACATCTTTCCCCAGCCCCCCCCAAAGCTGCGACTGAATGCAGCCCCTGCATGTGAGGGATGTTCAATTAGAGCGCTGAGCCCTCATGTCCTGGATTTATTGTCAGCTTCGACACAGGAAGGCGCCTTAATTCCCAGGCAGTGCGACAAAACAGGGATAAATCAACAATAAGGAGCCCCGGTTAAGACAAGCAGCAGAGAGAAGAGGAGGGAAGATAGACGAGCAGACGGAGGCGTTTGATCTCCGCTCGGCGTCGGCTGTTGCAAACACTGACATTCTCAGCTGCGAGCTCTGAAAAGGTCACGGCCGCGGTTTTAATGAGGAGAGAGACAGCAGGCTGTGGCCACGCTTACAGGCTCCCCCCCTGGAAAATGTTCTTTAAAGCGAGCAGCGATAGCTACAACAAATGAACAGACCGAATGAGCGGGGAAATGATGTTTTGCTTTGCTACAACTGCTTTACAACCCGATAAGTGGAATTATCCAGTCACTTCAAGGTTCAGCGTGCTGACACAAAGCCGGACCCTTCGTACCTCAAGTCTGCGTCGTACTTCTGTGTTAAAGGCAGAGACACAGACCATACGGTTATGCAGAGGAAGACCTGCGTCTCTGGGGTGCAAAAAGCAATTACTCAGTAGGTCGCGGTGTGTTCAGAACAGCGTCTTTCCAAAGGAGGCCGTGGTATTTCCGTTAGTTTCCACTGATTCAGTCAGAAGGAGGTTTCAGTGATGGGGAACGCTTGTACTGGCTGCACAGCTTCAACATCCTAGTTGTCTGTTTTTGTTTAGGTGGATTCTGATGTCTTAAGTATCAAAGCCAACACAGTAGGCACAAGGTCGTACAGCTTTCATGCTAATGGTGTTTCTGATGGTATCACACCTGACGGGAACTTCCTCTGATAAATTTGCTTTTCTAATCTTGTTGACCACTCAGAGCTTTCTGCATTTAAAGCCACACACATTCATACTGCACTCCTTGGTCCATACAGTCTTTACACTACCCAGATTCCGTTCCCTGGTAAAAGCCAGTGCAGTCCAGAGCTGCCTCACAAACTGACCGCCACAATCAGATTTGCAACATCTCTTGCAGTTCAAAAGTTATCAGCAAAGAAAGTTGCAACGGGGCACTTTGCCTGTGACGCACAGCTGTTGGCGTGTTCAGTGTGTGTCCCTGGTGCTGAGCACAGGGCCGAGGCGGCGCGGGCTAAACCTAAACAACCTGCACGTGAAAAGGCAGCGCTGCCAGAAGATGCCGTTAACGAGCATCACCTAACATCTTTGTGCACGACCAAGCAATAATGTGGATTAAGACAAAGTGAGGGAGTGGAAGAGTAGAGGAGGAAAGGAGAAGGAGAAAACTGATAAAGCTGTAAGCTGTAAGCCTGCGTGTCCGACAGCGGGATACACTGGACTCAACATTGATCGATGGCAGCCCGGGTGCTTAGATACTGAGGAGGTCATGTCATTGACAGAGGTTCTGTCTTAGTCGATATATATAGAAGAAGAGTGGGAAGGAGTAGATGTTAGGGATGAACTGTGGTAGGGACACGGAGGTGTTGGGTTTCAAAGAAAGAGCAGAATCTGCAGTTTTGACTTGTCAGCTGCTCTGAAAAGCCCTCGTGGGGTTTCCAGCTAGTCTGTGAAGGAAGTGCAGGTTAAAGCGGGAAGCAGCAGGCGGCCCAGTGATCATGCTGCGCATCACACACACATTATTACATTATTTCTCTGGGCGTGGCGGTGCCGTGGCGTATCTGCAGCAGAGGTCGGGGCGCCTGGCAGAGAAGCTGCTCTGCTCAGCAGCTTTAGGAAAAACACATGTTCCCCTACGCTTGTTAGCTTACTTCATTTGTTTCCTCTTTGTGGTCTCATTTTCCTTCCAGAGAGGAAGAGAAAGCTCTTTGGTAAATGTGAAATTTGACATTTTCCACTTAAAATGTAAAAATGTTCTCAAATCCAATCCAATTAGCCACATTGTGGCTGTTGAACCGACGTGACACTGTCCTAAATATTTTATCCAAATCTTTTTTTTCAATAAATGCCAATTACTGACGATATCTGTTGATTTAGGTATCGAAGCTTTGTTTTCTAGCCCAGAGGTTGGAGAATAGATCCACAATCCTCCCTTAATCTTCAGCCTGATAAGTGATCAATAAGTCATTAAGGCTTGGACTAAGATTAGAGCAGGTGTTGTGTCTCTCATACCAGGATACGCAGTGTGACAGCAGTCTTCCTCTCGTTCCTCACCAGTTCTAGCAGCTAGCAGAGGGATGTTATCCTTGTCGGCTAACAGCAGGTCGTTGTCTTCCAGGTAAGGTGTACGTCCACTGCAGAGAAGGCTACAGCCGCTCCCCCACCATGGTCGTGGCCTACCTCATGCTGCGCCACAGGATGGCAGCCCGGCTGGCGGTGGCCACCGTGAGAAACAAGAGAGAGATCGGACCCAACGACGGCTTCCTTCGCCAGCTGTGCCAGCTGAACGAGAAGCTGGCGAAGGAAGGCAAGCTGAACGGGGAGGTGGGCAAGCTGAAGTCCAAATAAGAGCGGGGGCCAGGGACCTTCTGCCCCCGCCTTTCAGGGGCTCCAGCTGCTGCGGGAAAAGCCGACCCCATCCCGACCAAACCAGCACCCATTCGGCACATCAGGGGTATTCCGAAACATGCATGCATTTATCCAGCGAATACCTTTTCCAGTTCATGTGCACACACTTGGTATCTGTCTAATCTTCATTCCACAAAAGTCACCGTTCTTCAGAGTGTGATCTCCAACACAACCACCCCCCCCCCTCCCCAGCTCTTTTTATAACTCTACAACCTGCAGATTTTGCTGCGTATCTGTTTGCCAAGCTCAAAGTGTGTGTAACAGAGTTTGAGCGCAGCCACTTATAAGCATTCCTTCTAGTCCCACAAGTTAAGAAGGTGAAACTTGTCCCGTTTTTAAAAATTTCCTTACCGATTTGTATGAAGTAGAAGATGATAGCACAATCATTCCAGAGTTTTCCACTGCCGGAATGTCAGTGACGTTACCGCCAACTCCGTAAAATTCCAGACAAACTCCTCAATCTTAGGTGGAAGTTGATGGTCGCACACGATGCAACACGGCAGCGGCATGAGCAGACGGAGGACAATCCCAAACATTCCATAAATTCCCACATTCAGCCCCTAAAACTCCAAATCCTTCCCATCCTGCCTGCGGGGGCAGATGTTTAATGCACAAACAGACTTCCTCACACTCCGACACCCAAATGTGAGCTGTGGGCCTGCACAGAGCCTCAGTTCAGGCCTCCGGTTTGACAGTGAGAGAACGCAAATGTGTTTAATGGTCAAACAATTAGTTTCCAAAACTGTCCTTTAGAATTGGTCATTTTTACTAATTCTAATGATAAAAATCTGCTTTGATGAAGATTGGATAAATCGTTTTATTTATGCCAAGTAGTGCTTTTGATCCATCCAGTTTAGAAGATCTGAGGGGATTTGATAGGGATCAATATAAAGAGAATAGGAGAATTTATGCCTTAATAAATCAGAAAAAGAGAGTAAAAGTTGGATTTTCTTGTTCTGTTGGTAGATTCTTTAGCATCCTTTACTTTTTTTTTTTGCCTTTGATCTGTAGAAAACTTTAGTGCCAAACAGAGGTGCTCCATGGTGTCCTCTGCTGAGCTGTAACGTTAGCTGGCTGCAAACAACTATTGATTTCTGGACTCAGATGGAGCCAATTGTAACATTTTCCATTTGAAGAATACAGTAACACGATAAAGCAATAACATAAACAGATTGCGTCATGTTGTAGCACCCATATTTTTGGCTATGTTTCGGAAAAAGAAGGAAAGAAGACTCATCTCCCCTTTTTGTTTGCACTTCTGTTGCTTTGTACTTTTAATCAATTACTTTTATGGATTTTTCTTGAGTTGTTTTTTAACATTAACCCACCTAAATGTCTTTATGTGTGATTGAAATGTAACTTCACCTTTAAAAGGCCCCATAACAAACATGCCAATGGGTTTGAACGGGTTTGTTAGAGGTGAAGCAGTGTTCACGGAGGGGGGGTTGTGTTAAAAAACAGACGTCAAACTGGAGGCCTGTACTGCGGACCGCCACCCGCCTACACCAGAAAGCTCCAGTCATCACGCCAGAGAGTTGTCCACTGCCAATTCCCTGACTCAGCCATTCGGCCAGTATTCAATACCACTGTTTCATCAACAGACTTTGTCAGAGGTCCACACACACACACACACAACATGTCACTGCTCGTCCCACTCCGAAATGTGTGTGCCAAACAGAAAGTTCTGCACACAGACACACACACACACACACAGGCTTTTTGTTTGTGCGCACTACAGCATTGCAATATATGTCAATACCCTATCAGATATATAGAATGTAATCACACCGCGTATAACCCAGCAGTCGCCACTTTTACACATAACAACAGTTTTATAGATGCCGTGTTTAACATAATTCGGTAAAGCAGAACCCAGGAAGGACAGCGAGGGAGCGCGTCTCTCCTCCACGCATGTTAAGAGAGCAGAAGTGTGAGGAAGCTAGCTCGGCCTCAGAGGCTCACACTTCAGATCGTAGATTTCTCCTCAATTACAAATCTGAGGCATGTTGGTATGAATCCAGTAGAAAGATTATTAAAACTAGGCTGCCTCACCTCATTAAAGGCACTATTTATTCCTTCTTTGATATATCTGTATACATTTGAATATATATATGTATATGTATACTGTATATACATATTTACGTGTTGACATATATGAATGTACAAGCAATGTGTCTATAACTTGTAGGTATCGTCAGTATGTCCTTAAATATCATGTTATATCTGTGAGTAGTTCCTCCATTCTTTCCTCTTCACAGAAAACTACATGGACATTGATATGCAAATATGATGTGCATGTAAAAGCTTCTGTGGAATTGTGATGCTTCCTATCACAATTGTGCAAAACTAGCTTTTAAAAGGAGCGTTTTCTTTTTGTTTTTGTTGTTTTTTCTTTCCAGCCGAACCCACGCACTCATTGTGTTTACTGGTGTTTTGCACAGATTTACACACACCTGGTATTTAGTTCATCGAGTTCAGCCTGAAAGATGCAGGTGGCAGCGTAAGATCCACACGGATCATCCTGCAAACATGCAAACGCATCCCAGCCATGCATGCTCTCATCCCATCTCCAGCTTCAGTATTTTTGTTTAGGACCGTGTCAAAAAGTGAGGAGATCCTGCAGCTACTATGGTTGGATTGATGGAGCTCTTTCAGGGCTGTTTACAGAAGACAAACCTCCTCCTCAGGATGGGGCTCCGTGCTGACTGGCTAGGCTTGGAAAAAGCGCCATTTTTGTAAAACCAGAAGTAAGACAGACAGCACTGTCAGCAATCATTGGAAGAACCTGCTGAATTTACTTTGCTTTTAGATTAAACATGAACCCCCACAAAAAAAACCCAACAACACTTAGAATGGATTCCAGAAATAAGTTCAGAGAAAGCTAAAAAGTTTTGAGATAAGGAAGGTTTTTAGTTAAACTTTGATGACTTAAATGTCGTCAAACAGTTGAACAGACAATTTTCTTCTTTGTGCAGGTATCATCCGTTTTTTTAAGGTTGATGAATATTTTCTTTGTTTGGTTGTAAGATTTTATGAAAAGATAACTGAGAAAATATTCATCCAATCAATAAATGACCGGAATTACTGCATCTCGCGTACAGGAAGTGCCAATAATGTGGACACGAGTGTACATAAATACAGCTGGGGGAGCCATTTTTAAGGCCTCTTATCTCATAAAATCCATTATTCTGATTCCCGAACATCCACTGAAAGGGCCTCTGACTCATTGTTGGCTTGGAGGAAGAGCCAGATAAGGTCATATTCTCCCGGGGAGTTAAAGCCGAGTTCAGACTGGAGGGAGGCCACGAGTGCGGTCTTAATGTGCCTCAGTCAGGGTTCACGCACAAGTCGCTCCAGTCAGCTCCGAGCCCCGTTCTGTCATGTGAAAATGGTCGTAGAGGATCAATCAGAAGCATGAAGCTGAATCTCAGACCCATTTCCAAGCTGAATGGAATGCATGCGTCCCACCTCCGTCTCCCATCAGCTCATCACAAACCCCAGAATCACCCTCACAGTGACACAACAAACCAAAACAGTCTGTGCCAAGTGACCTACTCTGCTGCACAAGAGAACTTTCAGACATGTCGAGCCGTCTTCTTCTGTCATTCAGATGGTTTGGGGTTTCACTCATCCAGATATTTTCGCATCTGCTCTTTGATACTGCCCTCCCTCTGAATACGCCACTGACCTGAGGATCGGTTCAGTACGAGGGCACGTACTTTATCAGCTCCGAACTAGCCATGCTGACGTTTTCTGCCCTCGGAAACGTGGGAGAAAGCTCCCCCTTTACGAAGTAAAGACGCACCAACAGCCAGAAAACGGCCAGCATGGCTCCACTTCTGCTCCCAGCAGACAAACACTGCCACCTGCTGTCCAGCCCATAGTAGTTAGCACATTCCTCCCGTTTGGTCCCATCACGGCTCCAACCCGGTTCCCGTTTGTTTAAAAGAAAACCAGCATCATTTTGTGGCTTATACAGTACCTGATGTATTATTGAGAATGTGAAATGCCATTAATGTGTAATGTTATCTATGCTGAGTGTGTAACACACTGTGTATTGCTGCGTTTTGCCCTCGGAATCAGTCTAAAGACGGAGAGAGAGTGCAGATGAAGCATTCATCCTGTCTTTTCTCCTGTTTGGTTGGTTATTTTTTTTAAAAGCTATTTGCTCTGTTGAAAGGCTTTAAATCTGGTTTGAAGTTGAATTATTCAGCACAGCCAATAAACGAGGCGGTTTGTGTCTTTTTTTGGGGGGTTCTGTTTGTGTAGTAAAGCGTTCACGAAAGCGTGCTTGTGGCCCACTTCTCCAAAGCCTTCAGCTAAACACCCTCCGTCATTACCCCTGTTGCTTTTGGATGACTTGCCGACATGCTTAATGGTAGTCAGACCTGGGCCGGGCCGGATTGTTAAATCAATCAAACGCGGCCAGGTAGTCGCATTTACATTCGCAGCGGAGCACGTCAGGTTGACTTTTAAACCATTTCCTGTGATTTTAGCTCAAATTTGCGGTCCCGTGTGGCCCGGCTGGGCCATCTGTCCACCAGAAGCTGAGAAGTTTAACCCTTAAGGCCCACCGGTCCACGTGTTGCATCATGGAAACTCATCTGTTTTAGCTCGGCTAAATTGGCCGTGAGGCCGTAAACCAACAGCCGTCCTCGCGTTTGCGCCCACGTCCCGGCAAAAGGCCGAGGGGAGGAGTTTTAGCACAAAGGAGCCCACTGCCCGACTCCCCTGGAGTCCGTCACGCGGTCCGGCTCTCACCGGGT